CATTGTTCCACTGATTGTATCCCTACAGAAACAAAAGCACATTCATTCATTTATTCATGTGCACATTATACATCCTGAAGGAGTCATGCTACAAAAATGTTGGGACACCATCCTCACCGCCAGGAAGTAAAGTTTACAGTCAGCTGTACAAATGGTCTCAAAGACGAAGGTGATGCGAGATAGCTCACTCCTCTCAGCGTCTTTGACCATGGACTGAGGCAACCTGTGAAAACCAGCGGCGTTTTATTAGACGTCTTTAACAACTCAAGCTCAAATTTGAAGAGAAACTTTTATGTTTAGTTCTTGTTTGACTTCACCTGTATCCAGGGACACTGAGCGTGAGCATTAAATAGTCTGTGTCCTGGTCCCCGGGAGTGGTGTAGATATACTCTCCAGCCACCTCCCACGCTGCCATTACAAAAGATAAAAGCTGTAAGATACATTTTATCCCAACAGCAACGTACACATGCAAACATACTGTGGATAAATTTTGAAACCAAAGCAAACTAGTTTAATTTTTAAATGAATTCCTCTAACCTACTTACAACTAAGGATCTATTACACAATTCACTTCAACCATTACATACGCTTCTGAAGCTGATGTGCAGGTTTAATTCTTGGCCTTGGAAAGTTTGCAAACTAGCAAATTATTATCTGTGCCTCAGGCTGTTTAATCGCTTTGCTATCTTTCTACTTTGAGAAGTTCTTCACCACAAGTTAATGATTATGTCTATTCACCCATAGTAAGAGATCATCAGTACATCATGAAAAGGTCAGCCATTTGTCACAGGGTTAAATCACAGAAACAGACAACTATTCACACATCTTTAGACTACAGGAGGAAACCAGAATACTGAACTAAGCCAATGCAGACAGGAGGACAACATGCGCACTCTACACAGAAAGGCCTCAGACTGGATTCAAACCCCATTCTTGCTGTGTTAACCAATGCACCACCATGCCACCTACACCTCATTCTCTAATATTAAGGTTCTCACCAGTACGCCGGTTAGAGTCACTGAACACTTGATTGTAGACGGTGCTCTTCATGTTGGCTGGCATCGTGTTCCACCATTTGTACTCAAAGCCCACCACCGGTTCTGTGCCAGCAGGGCACTCGGTGCAAACTGAGCAATCAGTGGAAAATCACATCAGGATATTAGGTCATTAGTGTCAACAATATTAGACATACCACCTTAAATCTTATGACATTTCCTCTCATGCTGTCTAAAAATGTAACTAACTATTAACATGATTGCCTTATTTTTTTAATATCACACGATCAAGGCCAAAATAAAACTATAAGGCCGACATCAGTAAAACACAGTAAAAAGGAGCGGAGTGGCTCTAACCTGTGCCATTAGAGAAGGATCCGCTGGGACAGGGCTCACAGGTGGAGGAGTTGGAGACAAAGAAACCCGGGTTGCATGGCGGACAGGTTTGCTTCTCCCCTGACGCGGGAAGCTTCAGTGCTCCTTCGACAGTCTCACTGCAGATCTTAGGCTCGATCCATTTGTACATGAGCTGAGTCTGAGACACACACCAATACACAAAAAGAAGAGGCAGCAGTGGCAGCGTTACAGCTCAATCAGATCATTTATGTTAAATGAAGCCTAACATTTACACCAGTGCGATTTTTAAAGAAAAACCTCCACTGAGCCAGCAGGAGCTCTACTTCCACGTATCATTACCTTTCCCTCAGAGTCACAGGGGGTGTGGGTGTAGAAGTAGTCACTGCTTGTACATGCAGGTCTCGGTTTGCAGCTCGCTGAACCGACGACTGGAAATGTTTTTGGATGAGGAAAAACGCACAGCACACATTTAAGTCCAGAGAAAAGATTAACTTGACCACTAAGCAGTAACTGCTGCATTTGCATGTGTGTGGAACGTAGCAGTTGTAAGTCTGTAAGAACGCTTTACTCCACCTGGACAGAGATAAGCAAACGGGCATACCTGCGTATTTATCTTCCTCGCATTCATGGCAAGTAGTGGCACCTTTATTGGAGTAGGTATCAGCGGGGCAGGGGGTACAACGCGCGGACCCTGGGTTTGCACTGTGGGTGCCGGGTTTACAGTGGAAACACTCTGATGTGTAGGCCACCCCTGGAGAAAACCAAAAAAAGTTAATCATTAACAGAAACAACGTGTTGGTGGGAAAAGGGAAAAGTTTAGGCCTGCTGCACTCCTATCTTACCTGATATCTGAATGTTTCTCAGCAGCACAGGTTTGACAGCACTGCCCTGCAGGGAGTATGCTATAGTTCGCCAGTACAACACATTGTTGCCCTTATTTAGTTCGACCTGTACAGAGACAGAGTGGGGCATTCATTTATTCAAAAATTCCCCAGGGCTGGCCTTGAGTGCACTGAAGTGCTAAAACTGCTTCCTGGACAAACCGTGTATTTGCTCCAGCTGCTCTCTGAGATCCGCATCCACCGGCTGTTAGAGTCTGTCGACTGACACTGGTCATTCTGAACCTGCAGGAAGACGAGAACATTTCACCAAATACTCACACCGAAAGGTGATCTGTGTCAGCTGAAGCAGCAGTCATTTACAATCCTTACAAAGAACTCAAAGTAGATGCTGGTGTCAGGATAGAAATATTCAAAGGACAGACTTCCAGGCTGTTTCAGGTTCACGGCGTAGGACAGCGTCGCAGTGCATTCATCTGTGTTTGAGGCTATGTAGTCACCCTTTGGTGTCCAGGTTGAGCTGCAAAAACATCAGCAAGCAGCAACAGTTTAAAAAGGTTTTGAAAATTGATACAGAGGGCCTCAATCAATCAGATAAATCTTGACAGGAGGAGGGAGGGGGCTTGGTACTGTGAATACTAACTTGGAGCAATCCGTTTGGTCATTCCCCTCATTCGTTATCACGCCGTGAGTGACAAAACCAGTCGGCAGGCTGTCCCACTCGTCAAAGGCCACGCTGGTGCCCAGAGAGTAGGTGCCCGCAGCACATTTCTGACACTGCTGTGACTGCATATCAAGATACTCCCCCTCATTACAAGAGAACGCTTAAAGGAGACAAAGCACATGCTGAAAATGGAGATGTGCACCTGACAGTGAGCGTATCTGTTGTGCAGATTGAAGACTTGGAGAAAATGCCTGAAATAAAAGTAGGTTACTGCTTACTGCACTGAGTCCCTTTGACAGGATCTGGGAGGCCCGTGCATATGTCGGCTTTGTTGGGAACTGCAACTCTCCATCTCGACCCGAGGACGTCACACTCTGTGTACTCAAAGTGATAATCTGACTGCAGGGATGAAACACAGGTGTGAGTTTCACACAGTTGGACATAAAAGCACACAATGGATAACTTGCACAGCCGGAAGTGGGAATAATAACTGTAAATTTAAAAAAAAAAAGCAAATGTAAATAAGGATTATTTTGCAGTTTATCTGCCCATTTTGATTCCTCACATGTTCAGCATGTAAATTCCTCACACACAGGAACACTAAACTCATTGTTGCACCCTTGTTTTAAAAAAAACAAGAATTCCAGGTTGCCTTATACTTCAGGAATCTTTTCGCCAAACCAGGACAGCCTCTTTTACAAATAAAAGCGGAGGCTAATATTTGCCCAGGAGCCCGTCTCAACTGTTATTTTAATCACGCTTATCAAGGATACTGCTGCTTCTCTGCAGCCTTAAGGGTTTACTCAGCTGAGAGGAGAGATGCTGATTCGACCGGTCCCTTTGTAAACATTTAATTTAAGTGTTCTCGAAGAACTTTGAAGACAACAAAAGCTCTCAGTCGAATGACAAACACAGTCCCACCCATAATGAGGTAAATTGGGAGGAGACAAAACATTTAAGTTAACCTCACTGAAACAAGGCATGAACACACAGCAGGCACAGAGCGTAAACTGGAGATTTGGTCACTGGTCAATAAAAGGATGTGATATTCCAAGGAAGGTCATCTGCCACGCCAATCTACACCCACACAGCTTCATGGGATTAATAGTTAACAGAAACACAGCAGCAGCTGCACTCCTCCATCCTTGTGTTTTTGAATTAGAGCTGCAACATTAGCTGTGCTAGGGTATCAAGTGAATGCAGGTCCTGGGTGGGAGGATTTGATGTAAAAATGCATCGAACTGGAGATGTGCTGTAGCTTAATTGCCCTCTTTAAACAAACACAGGGAAACCAGGGCAACGGGACATTATGACCGCTGTGCCACATGGTGAAATAAACTGGGCTGAAAACAAGAGTCACAGAGGGGAAAGGAGCACCTAGCAGGACTGCTTTCTGAAACTGAAATAAAAGCCTAGAGGTCCATATGGTGCAAAGTGTGCTGATCAAAAGGAGTGGTTTGAGTATTATCTCAAGCTACTCCTGTTATGCAAACTGACCACAGATATGGAGGCTGTAAGAGAGCGAGCAGGCTGTGTAGTATGTGGGACCTCTAGTAAAACAAGTGTAGGAGTACTTTAAACACTTGAAGGGGAAACATATGTTCAATCTCACAAACTGCTCAAACAAACTGCTGTTTGTGCTCATTTTAGTGTTTGCTTTTAGTTTAAAGAGTGATTCAGCATTTCACTTGAACATGTGTTACATCAAACATATGTGTGTTTTCTAGACCAACCTTTCAACCTTTCATATATTTGAAAGTCTGAAGCACACAGCACATGTACCAGCATCTGTCTGCACCCCCAGAACTAGAGTGAATTATAAATACAGCTGGTTTGTCGCAGCACACGCATGAAATAAATCCCTTGGTGATTTAGAAATGACTGAAATCACAAAAACGAATAAATAAATAATATGAATCGCCTCACCTCTTTGCACATGGGCAGATCCGCGGAGGTTTGCAGAAAAAGCAGCCACAGCAGGCAGTGGCTCAGGTGTGTCAGGCCGGGCTGCATGGTCACCTGCTGTCGGTGCTGAAGTGATGGAGACGAAGGAGAAGAGGTCTGACCTGCGCCCTCAGGTGCTGGAGGCGCGGCTTCCCTCTCACACTCTGGGATGTGATTGGCTTGGTGTTTTTACTCTGAGTCCGAGTTACCTTTTAACGATCACCGTTTTCCTGTGAAAGGTTTAACCGGAAGTTTGCTGTTGCTGAGAAACCGGGTTGTAAACGTCTTGCTTTAGCTAGAGTCGTTTAAAGGCCGCAAAAAGAAAAAATCAAACAAAGTAATCTGGACCAGTGTTTGTAGATCTAAATATGTCAAACCGGGATCCTTTCCCCTCTCCGAGGGTAGAAAACGACCTCACTCTCTGCGGCTACAGGCCGCAGCAGGTGCGTTAGCTTTAATTACTATAACTTTATCTCCTAAAGAAACCTCCGGGAGGCGTTATTGATGCTTTGTGTTCAACAAGTTATACCAAAATATACTTTTTACACTAGTAGCACTTTATTATTAAGAGTGTACTATGTTTTGCTTTGTTTTTTGTTTTGTTTTTTATGAAATTAGGGTGTAATTTACTTGTAAAAGGGCAACACTTTTTTTTTTTTGGAAAGAAGTAACAAGTTATACTGTGAGTAATTTTAAGAAGTGAGTAAGTACCGAGTATTTTAGCCGAGAAACTAACGATATTTCCAAATTTTGCATGATAAATATGGTGTAAAAAGAAGAAAGAAAGTAATTACATATTATTAAGTGTACATGATGTTTTTGATTTCACAAAAACTATACTGAAATTTTACTTTACACTGGGGGAATTACACCCTTAGTTGCAGGCTGTATTACAAGGTCTTACTTTTTAATAAGAATACCATCTGGGCCTTATAAATATAAGTATAAATGTATACATAAATATTCTAACACATTATATTTTTGTTCTTTACTTCCAGTGTTCTGACACCTGTAAGTTTCCTATTTTCTTAGTCTAAAGGACTCTGTTCCACAAAGCTTTTTGGTCTGTTTTGAAAAACTGGGATGCTACAACTAGTGTTTTCTTTTGGACCTAATTGTTTTCATGAGAAGGTCACATTTACTCCTCAAATCTCTGTTTACATCTCACACATAGATTTTTTTAGTACTAACATAAAATATTTAATTTCAACATCAGAATTGTAGTATCTATTTATCTATTTTTTTTTAAAACTGAAATGAACAGAAGTACAGAGCCAGAGGAGCAAATAAATATCTTGTTGTCTGGATTGGAGCAGATTATTTGGCTCCTTTGTTACTTTTATTGTCATTTTAAAATATTAATGACATGTTGTTTTTTTTTAACTTACCGGGGAACACGGTGGCATGGAGTGACTCACACAGTCCTAGTATTCCCCTGCTGAAATTATGTATAACCACTGCTTAACAGTGTGATAAATAATTAAGGACTGAAAAGTAGATTTGGACACGGGTACCTAATCCTTATAATGTCACTTGATATGTAGGTAACTGATAAATGAAGTAAATTAAATCTAGGTATGCAGTATTTAAAAATACACGGTAAAACATTTCAAAGCATGTTACCTAGTGCACTTAGTTATTGTTATCTAATGAAGTTATTAAAAAAATTAACTTAAACAAATAAGAATGATAAAAACCATTTGTAAGATTTCATTCTACGTGGATGTCGTTCTATGCTTAAAAATGTAAATAAGTTTGAAATTTGGAATCTATGCATATTGTTTCTTTGGAAATTTGGAATTAGTCTTATTTCTTATCCTGCAGAAAAAAACATACAATAAACCAACTCACATCGCCCAGACTGAGGAACCTTGGAGTCGCCTCCACGACACAGCCACTGTGTCCAGCACCCAGCGGAGTATTTTGAACTGTACACAGGTATGTCGTCAGCATTCACTTATGAAACCACAGAAAGGCTGAAGTATCTCTACTTTGAACGACTGATCTGTACTCAACCACAGACTCCAAACGACAGCCTCGACCTTCAGCTAAACGCGGTCTACGATCACCACAAGAACTGCTTCTGGAGCAAGAACCAGATTTTGTACCAGAAGGAGACTGTCTCTGAAGACCACAGGCGGGTGTTTGTGATGTTTTGGCAGTGGTGCATCAGGTAGTTCAACTGTGTTAAGATTATTTGTATGTACTTTTACAGGAAAGAGGCAAACTTAGAGATGGAGGAAGCAGAAAGTGGAATCACAGTGTGGGTCGACAAACAGCTAGGCGCTCTATTCGCATCAGCTGACACACAGGTAAAGCTTGGTTAAATCAATCACAATGAACTGCAAATGTTTCATCAGCTCAGAGAAACCTAATACTTCTAAAACTGCAACTCCAACCCTAATCCACTGACCCTGGGAGGAGTGTGTCTTTGTCTGGAGTCAGGTGTGTCCAAATACAAACACAATGCACTTATCTTTGCTTCACAGGCGTCTTCAGACAGGGGCTGCTCTACAAAGCACAAGAACTTCAGCTCCGCATGAAGCTTCAAGAGCTAACATCTCTAACAACTGCTGACCTCGGCCCTGGAAATAAACGAGTTCTTTCAATGCTTCTTTATTCTGTTTGTGTTTTTCATTAAAATGAGCATTAAAGACCAGCGTAGAAGAGAAACAGCAGTACATTTTATTCAAATATATAAACACGAGCCAACTGTTAAAGACACATATGACACAAGATATTGGCTGCATAAATAAGAAAATGTGCAAATGATGAAAACTAATGACAGATATTATGTGTGAACACTTTTCTCTTAATCTGATTTATAGATTCCAAATACAATTAAAACAAAAACAAAAAACTGCAAAAATGGCAGATTAAGGATTCTGAACATTAAGTGAAAAAATACACCCAATAATTCTTTTTAAAAGAGTTTCAAGGAGCACAGGTCATTCCAGGGGGCTCATGCCCTGGCTTTTCTTTCAAGACACCGTCTGACGAAAGCCCTCTCGTCCCACTGGTTGGGGGAGAGCATGTGGGGGCCGTTATGGATGCAAAGGATGGTCATCTCCTCGGCATACGTAAGATTCTGCAGCAGCTGTAGGCAAACACAGCAGGAAGAAATTAAGAGCACTGGGCTGTCGTGCATTCATATAAAACAAAAAAAATATTTCAAGATTAAATAAAATAAAAAACCTAATACTATTATCTGAATACAGTGAGCTCTTTAGAACCCATTCTTTTACAAACATTTGTATGGCTAAGTGCTTGATTTTATATACCTGTGGCAATCTGACTCAAAGATGAAGTGATGCAGCCCAATACTTTAGTCCAAACAGTCTGACTATTTGGCATAAAGTGGCACATAAACAGCTCCTTGGTACCACTGGGACTTTCAGACAGGCAGTCTGCATGAACATAGAACACTTACTTTAGGTGTTATGAAGAAGTACTGGGACGTTGTCTCTTTGCAGGCTGTGCGAACCACAATGTCAAAGACTCTTCTTTCATTTACAGGATCCATTCCCTGCATAAAGAAACAGGTGGGCTCAGACTCTTTAATAAAGGCAATTGATGACTACTGTTGTGTGAATGCCTGTCGGCGTGATCTGAGTTCTATTTATTAAAGTTGTTAAAATGTTAATTTCATGAAAGCAGCGGCACATAAGCTGAGCTCTTTTCAAATCTGTCTGTGTGAAGTGGTTTGCACATAAATAAATGTGTGCAGGAAAAGAAGAAAATAGGCAGTAAAGAGAAACTCGTACCTGGGTTTCCCTAATAATTACACTACCTGCAGCTCATGTGCACCTTTGTTACGGTCGCACTGTTGAGACTGTGTGTAAGAACTACCTGATTGATCTCATCCACCACTCTGAAGGGACAGCGGTTGAGCTCCTGCAAGGCCATGAGGTAAAGCATGGTGGAGACGCTGCGCTCTCCTCCACTCTGATGGTAAGGCGTCAGCTCGTGGAGCTGGGTGGTGGCGTGAAACTTCACCCGGATGCGGATCCCGTACTTGTCGTACTCCTCCTACAGTGGAAAGACCCAGTATTCTCTTTTTTTTTGTTTCTAAAGACACTCATAAAAATCTTATCCACTCACAAAAAAGTGGATAAGATTTTTGCGAGTGATATTTAATCATCAATAAATCTACTGAATTGATGTGAGTACGACCGCATGAGAGATAACTGTCCTACCGCTGATAAACTGGACAATTTAAGTTTAATTATTTTAAGTCTAGAGGACACTAATATATTCAGTTAAACTAAATTCATGCTGAATTATGAAGAAATATAATGTGAAAAATAATAAGGCAACCCCATCTATATTTTTAACCTTTCCAATTTGATGCATCCGTTAAAAATATGGATACAGTTTAATATTTCCCTCAGTTAAACAGCCTACCATATCTATTCAAAATTCAGTTTTCAATGAACTTGTGCTCAATCATAAGTGGTTAAAGGTGATGCAAAGGGAGACCTCTACCTCAGCAGTGTGCTGTGACTCTGCGATTACCTCATTCTCTGAATGCAGATCAACTTCTCCTGCACACTGCATGGAGCGAAAGAAAGCACTGAACTTCTCGTTTATCTGTTCAACCAGATGTTTCAGAGGATTAAGCCAGCGTTCCTTAGCCTGTGACACAGAAGAAAAAAAGTCCAAATATACACATCATTACACCCCAAGAGCCGTTCTGTCACACAACAAATGATAAACTGGACAATTCCTGTGAAACCAGGTAATCACTCGCCTCAGATATGTTCTGTCGGTAGGCATTCAGGGCGTTGCTCTTTTCTTCCAGCTCTTTCTCCATTTGTTTAATCTCCTGCTCTCTCCTGTTGTACTCATCGACAACCTTTCAAGTCAAGAGAGGTTCAATATTTGTATATATTTATATTTAATATTTCAAATAAGAACATAAATGGAATAAACTGTTAAGTAAAAATAAAACTAATTGTCTGAACAAAAGGGCATTTTTAAGGTCTAATGCAGGGGTGTAAAACATAAGGCCCGGGGGTCAGTATCAGCCCAGCAAAGATTCCAATCCGGCCCACTGGACAATTACAAAAACAAACAAGCTTACAATTTAAATCATGCTGATATTTGTTTAATTTACTACAGCAGCATTTCCTTATTATGCAGAAAAATAAGAAATACTGTTGCTTCTTTTTCTTTTCTAAATGTCTAGTGAAAGTTCTTTCTCCTGAAAGAAAGAGGAACTTTACTTGTCCGGCCCACTTAAAATCAAACTGGGCTGTGTGTGGCCCACCATGTAAAATGAATTTGGCATCCCTGTTCTAATGCATGCTTATTAACATTTCCAAACTGCTTTCTTACTGAAGTTACGACCACGCTGAAGACAGAAGTCCCGCAGCATAAATGAAGACCTGATTTCTATGCGTCCTTACATTTTCACTGAGGCCAGTGAAGCACTCGGCTCTGGAGCGCTCCTCATTCAGCATGGCATCGACCTCATCCAGCGTGTCGGGGAGCTTGCTGAAAGCCTGATTTAACAAAAAAAAAAGAGCTGTGAACTCATTTGAATTTTAGGCTCTGAGGAGCTTCACTGCAGAGATTAGAATATATTATAAGGGTAATATTTTACACAGAGTGAATAGAGGGGGAAGTCTCTTTCACATATTCACCAATAAAGCTGTGAAGAACACTCACATTACGCAGGTCTTCGGGTAATGACTGATCAGGCTGCATCTTACAGATCGCCTTTGCTCTCTTCAACAGCCCTTTGCATTGGTCTGTCAGCTGCACCTTTCTCTGCTCCAGACGGCTGCATTTTTGCTTAAAAAAACCCAAACATGACAAGTAAGCATAAATCTGCGATACAAAACCTCCCGATCCTCAGACGAGCAAGCTCCCCATCTAAATACTTACATCAGTGGTCCTCAGCTCAGAGGCACCTTCTCTGCAGTCATTCTCCAGTTTGTTCTTCTCTGCCGTCAGCCCCACCGTCTCCAACGCCAGATGCACCTTCTCCATCGTCAGCTTGGCTCTCAGCTGAAGGTCATGCAGACAAGTGAATAGAAAAAAATGCAATCGTGAAATTATTAAATCGTAGATGTTTTCAATAATATCTGCTATAAAGATGATATAAAAACAGAGAAGGGCTTAATGCCATTCTACCACAGCTAACACAAGCAATGCAGTCAGGTTCCCTTATTCATACCTTCATTTGGGCCATGAATACAGTCACTATGGTCACTTTCTCAGCATTTACAGCTGCAATTTTTTCTTTTAGTCTCCTCCTCAATCTTTGTCAGGTCAATAATATTCTGCTCCATCTGCTTCAGACTAAACACAGAGACAGATGAGTTTTTGAAATCTCATAACCAAGCTGATGCCTCTGTGAAGATCATTTAAGACATATGACAAAAGTCACTGTTAAGCATTTTGTCCCTTTAAATGAAGCTTACCTGTCCTGTTTGGTACTAATTTTCTGCTCCAGTTGTCGTTTTTTCCCCTTTAGTTCAGAGAGACCCTTCTTCTCTGCCAACAGCTCATTGTCACGGCGGTCCAGTGCGACTGCTTCCTTCTGCAAGGCCTTCATCCGCTCGTCGATGTCTCGCAGCTTTGACTCACAGGACTGGTCGCACAGGAGAATGAAGCACATGTTTAAAAAAAGTTTGCAGAAAACAAGTGAAAAGTAGGTCACCTAAGTTTTACTAAAGTGTGCAGATACACACAAAACTTTTTTTCATCAGTTTTGCATGAAGGGTTTTTGGTAATTTCCCCCTTAAAACAAACCCGGCTCATTTTGCCTGCCTAGTATTGTCCAAATTGCCTAACACTCAAGCAATCAACCCCCTCGATCGGACATGCCCCTCAGTGTTTCAGAGCACATTTATTAACAATTTTAAAACCTAATCTTATACACTTGGTGAATTTTGTTAATCCTTGAGTGGTTTAAAGCACATTTTTCTGTTACATGACAAACTCAAAGCGCACATTTATTACTGCTTTACACGGACTTTAAGCAATATAATATACTGAAATGTCTTGAGGTGCTGCTGTCGTTCCAGCTCTCTTCACACAACTGTTTCCTACCTTCATCTGCTGCTCTAGCTGCCGTTTCTCTTCAGCATCCACAGTGATGGTGAGGTACTGGGAAGGGTGCACCACAGAGTTGCTGGTGCTTATCTTGTTTGAGTAAAAGGACCTTTTGACAGTGTACCTCTCCTCTGTTGTGTACAGCACCTTGAGGTAGGGCTCCTCAATCACCTGAACAAGACAGATCGGGGTCAGTGTCAAAGTCTTTCCACCACAAAAGCAATAAATACAACCAAAGTTAAAAGCGACGGACTCCCAGGAGATTTTGATGTTAAGGAGAACAATGTGGGGTTTTATTAGTTTACATTAAGAAGCTTTTTTTTTGAAGACAAGCGTACCGTTTTAATCATGGATTTGGTTCGCTCATTGCCCACTGGCACGTCATGCACCCTGTACTGGTGACAGAGGTAACTCATGACCTCATCGGGGGCGTCAAACATCTCTCGGAGGTAGGTGAAGAACCCAAAACGCCTGAAAGCCAGTAAGAAGAAGTAAAAAGATGCAACAGATGCATCAGGATAAAAAAGAACAACAACAACAACAAAAAAACAATACTG